ACTATTATTGATTCCTTTTATTCAAATGCATCAGTTCACTTTATTTGTTGTTTAATAGAAATCTGTTGCAGACAAAAACATCAGAGGAATCATGATGAAAGGTGCATCAGCAAAAATTAATGAAAACTTGCAAATTACTTTCTATTACAAAAGTAAGTTGAACAATTGGATTAAAGTGGTTACAATTTAAAATATTGGTACTCTTTCTGTAAACTCAGGTCATCTCAATTACCAATCTGGAATAGAAAGTCCAAGCAGAATTGAATTTAGTGGCTATCATCCAACTTGGAGTCCAGACAAAGAGAATCTCATTCTATATATTGATATCTATTCTATTCAACATGTAGATGCTTACATTGAGAACGAAATTTATCAGGATCTAGTTCAAAATAAGGTTCAAGTAAGTATTAGTTCAATAAAATAATTGTGGATAAATATTGATTTTCAAATTCTTCATTTTTCGAATAAAAACATGAATTCATGCTTATTCTTATTTGCCCTTGATCAGCCTCCAACTGGAATTGGATGTCCACATTACTTATCTGGAAATAAACGATTTCCAAAGTTGCAAGTTTCTCACCTGCACCTCACCATGGATGAACGAGTTCAAGGTTCAACTACGCATCGATCACTTAGTAAGGTTAGTTTATTTATCAAACAAAGATCAGTGTTATATGTTAGTGTAATAGTATTGAAATAAATAATGAATATCTCATAGTGGGAACAAGATCCAACATTGGAATCGAGTCTTAATGTGCAGTAAATTAAATATGAAACTCATCATCAATTGATCTTTCATTTCGAAGTACAATTGTGAATGTTGAATTCCCAACACTTTTATTTGTCATTTGTCATTCAATTCATTTTTGTTTTCAGGTTTATGTTGCAAACCTTTACGATTTTTTGAGGATAAAACCATCATTGGTTGGTTCAGCAAGTGAAGTTATTTACGACTACCGACTAGGGGTTTCTTTCACTGTTGGGACGAATGGATCTGTTGCTGTGGCATCCATAGACTCGAATACACCTGGATTCGACCGTGGTCTATTCAGTTTGCAAAATCTTTTGATGTTGAATGATAACTTCAAATATGTTGGGAGACTCGACTTGGTGAGTATTTTATTAGAGTTAAACAAATTTGGTTGAGTTTAATGAATTGTAACAGCAATGTAAACTGTGCATCTTGAATAGCAATTAAAATCATGAAAAAATGTTTTTTATTGAATCTTTTTTAGGAACATCGATTCGGACTGCCCGTTGAAGCATGGGAATCAGTTCAACTCAATGTTAATATCAATGGAAAGAAAGTGGACAAAGCTGTCATAACTCAATTTTTTGTTTCATCGGTGAGTTGAATACAAATTTAATAGGCAAGAATGGTGAGGTGTCCAGACACAAGTCAGCTGTGTGATTTAACGACAAATTCATTACTCATTCCGTATAACTTTTTGCATTTCTATCTGAACGGCGTTTTTAAGCATAATGATGACATATTTCGGGGTTACACTCTTGTCAGTACCAAGATGTCCATCTATGATTATGATCAATCGGTAGGTCTTCATTTTCAATTCTCGTTATTCTCAAAATATTAACATTATCCTTTATACCATGTCTTTGGCTAGAACAAAGTTTACACTTTTGAAGGAAGGAATCACAAGAGATTACATGAACTTTTCAAGAAGCACAATCCATCGAGAATATTTCGTTCATTAACAGAAAAGGTCAATTTCGCTTCTAGCGATGAAAAATTGATCCTCAACTTCATATTAGAGTGCGCTGGTATGTATTGAAATTTAAATAAAGTTATAATATGAACTTTTGCAATGGAAATTCGGTTGAGAGTTATGTAGTTTAGGGAAATTCGTGTCCTTTCCGTCCAAATCCAATGTAGTTAGTTGAAAGACTATGTTGTCTTCGAATTTTTTCGATGATTATTTTAAACCGACTAAACCGATAACTTTACTTTTACAATTTTATAACCATGTCTGCAATACAAAATTATTCAACAGGCAAACTATTGATTGTCCAAAGCTTTGAACGACGAGGACAAATTAAACGAATAAATGACATTATAATAATTATTGCTTATTAGCTTCTTTAGCTCCAGTTCCTGCAAACACTGTTTGCATAAAGCACACGGAGGAACGTATTTACTGGCTGAAAAGAGATTTCCTTTATTATATTCTTTTAACTAAACCTGTTAGTTTACTACGAATAGCTGATATTCAATATCGCTTCACTGATACAAAAATCGAGATGGAAGTAACATTTCTTGATCTACCACATTTGGAATGTAAGTTGATTACGTTTTGTTATCACTTGGTTTCCATTGAGTTCAATAATTGAACTTTCTTTTCTTTTCCAGTCATTTTCAACTCTAAAACTATGTATCTCAGTGAAGAGACATTCGACAAGATGATGAAAACTAGGGCTAACAATGAACCCGAATGCTTAGAAAAATTATCTCGATACCAACAGATAATCAAGTATAATAGCATTTCTTGATTGCATAAACACTTAGAATCAATTTATAACTGGTAATTGTTTTCCTCTTCAAAATTAGGGTTGCCATTTACAGACCTTCGGATTCTGTCTGCGGATACCTGAGTAATCCTGATGATCTCAAGGAAGATACTAAGCATGGACAGTCATGCAGTGTCTATTTATTTCCAATGAACAATTTGCGTCGAGTTAAAGAAGAGTTAACGCTTGACCAGATTCATGATGCATTCTTACGATATGTTGGTGTGAATTTTGTTGTCGATGACGGAGACTCTCGTAAGTACTTATCATTTTGTTAGTTTACTCAACTGATAATTATTCTTATTCTTTCCTCAAAAGCGATGCGTTTTAAGATTAGTGATGTGATCGACGTGACTAAAAAGGAAACTGGCTCCAATGATGATATTGCTTCTCGAATCAGACACAATGCAAAGTTGAAAATTGATTATCAATTCACTTTGCCTGTGCCAGATGCAAAGACTTTTGCTGATTGTTACCGAAACTGTCATGAATCAGACCAAGTTGCATGCGTTACTTTTTCATTCTGCAACACTGATGGTGTAATTGACTGCAGAGCAAGCAGCTTGCAGGCTTCTGATGTTGCCAGTCTGGACCAGTCGATTGAAACTGACCTAAAATGTGAAATTTATTCTATAAGTGTTCTCGACAATTATTCAAGAAAGTCCAACAGAAAATTTAAGACTCAGCAATCAACTGCAATTGAACAAGATTCTGTGCATTCTTGTGCAAAAGCCTGTCATGCTTCATCCGATTGTGTATCATTCCAATACTGTGATGGTTCTTGTACTCTCGGTAATTTTTTGTATACAGATGAGGCTACTCAATATGATGAAGAATGCATGATATATACTCGTAAGTATTCTTACAAGTAACACAAGTAACAAGTATTAAATCCATCTTGATCTTTGCTTTTTCGTAATTCATTTAGCCAAAGTATCTAAAAGATACCAAAAAACAGGCAATCAAATAGTATCAGATGTGATGATCACCAAATCCCAATTAACCTTGGATCAATGTGCTTTATTATGTTATGAGTTATCCGATGGCGAGGAAACTGGATGTAAATCATTTAATTACTGCCCTAAAAGTAGATCAGAAAGTTCTTGTTCATTGACTCATTTCTCAATTAAAAGTCCTTATACCAATACCACTGATGGAGGCCATTGTTACAATTACGAGTTAAAAGTGGAATCGAATGGAAATAAACGAAAAGAATCCAGTTCAACTGAAGTGATTGAAGGAACAACGGGATCAGGTGCTTTTGGCATAATAATCTTGTTCCTGTTCGTCGGTGCTTCATTGGGATTCATAGCTCCATTTGCTTACTCAAAGGTTAAACATATGCATGATGCTTCAAAGACAAATGAAGATTTCATTCGGGAAAGACAGCAAGATGAGCAGCAAGATGAGACCACTTGAAAATTTTCATTGAATTTTTTCGCAAATACAATGGAATTACATTATTATTAATTACTGTAAAACTTTTCTAATTATTTGTGCCATTAGTAGTCATATCTAATGAAACGCTGATGCTTCAGGTATTCAAGCCATGATTTAAGAAATTAAACCAGATTTTATATTCACAAGAATATTCAAGATAACCTGATCCTTCGACCTCTAGTCAGGATTTAGGACAAGGATAAATATTTTTTCCAATATTTTGAGAAAGTTAACAAGTTTTTATCCCAAGTCAGCCTGAAAATGGTGAATTCTGAGTGAGTACCGTGCTTGAATTGTAAGTTTTGGAAAAAAATTTCAGTTTCATTTTTTGGTGAAGAGTAAGCTTTCGCAAATTTTCGTGACAGAAATCAAAATGTGAACAGGCGAATCTTTAAACGAGTCGCGTTTGCGATATCAAAGTATATAATATTCTAGGCTAAAAAACGTCAAGATAAACAGGGTAAGTAACTATATTCTCACTCGTAACATGTTACATTGCATAATGTAGTTTTGCAAACTGCTTTCGAAAGCTATTTTTAGGTAATTTGCTAAGAAATGAAAAACTATTTCTAAAAATACTTGCTGTTCAAGATTTACTACAAAAAGGAGTTGATAAATAGCAATCTACTTAATAAATCCGGTAAACTCGTCAAAATAAAGATGAAAATGATGAAATGGGAGTTTTCGAGATTCATTCAAAACTATGGTCTGAACCTTTAGAGTTCATTGAATTAAACTTCACTTGAAATTTAAATTGTTGTTGAGCCAAATTAAAGT